ACTAATACCTCTTAATTAATTGTATATTGCTTATTAATAACATTTTTCTTTAAAGAAAAAGACATAGAGGAACACTTTTTAGTGTTAAGCTTAAAACCATTTATATTACACCACTCAACAACTCTATCCAAATCTGCCTGTAAACAGTCACAATCATCCAAGGTTACTATCTCCAAAAACAATTTGAAGTCATCAGCAAACAATAATGACTTAGACCTCTCCACCACCTGACACACCCCATTGATCGCTATGACAAACAAAAGAGGTCCCAAGTTTGACCCTTGAGGAACCCCAGAAGTACTTTCAAATACATCAGAACACCCCCCCTTAATTTCCACGTATTGTTGTCTTCCAGATAAATAAGAAGTTATCAGATTAATCAAATTATTCGATACATTGCTTTCTTGCAGAGACTTAACTATGACACTATGTTTTATTTTGTCAAAAGCCTTCTCCAAGTCAGTAAAGATGACATCCACTTGCGTTTTATTATTAAAGGAGTCATGCAAATACTGGGAAAAGGATACTAGGTTCGTCAATGTAGATTTTTTTAGGAAGAAATCCATGTTGGGTCTCACTAAGTTCAAACTTAACCAGATCATAAATCCTGTTGAAAAGGAGTATTTCAAAAACCTTGGAAACTGCATTGACTATAGAAATAGGTCTGTAAAGTCGACATCCACTTTTAAATATCGGGACAACCTTGCTCGTTCGCCATACCCTGGGATAAGTAGAAGTTCCAAGACTAATGTGCCTATTCTGTAAATCGCCTTACATCATTGTAAATCTTAAAGCGCGTAAGTTTATATCGCGATGTATAATTGAAACTTACATTGAACGCCAAAGCTCCTATTCTGTAACGCCTGCTGTAAAGTACATAGTTACAGCGCTTTATTTATAGCGCTCCTAACTTTATAGTAATAAACGTAACCTAATATGCTTGTAATTCGACTATTTTTGAAGTTGAAATATTTTGGAAGGAAGGTGTGATATTATCTTTACCGTCTATAGCCTTCCTGGTATGAATCAAATACAAAAGGCCTTTACGGAAACGCTGAACCAATTGATCCACAGGGTTGGCATAGAATTTCCCCAGTTTATAAAACCCCAGTGGGGTTTTTCGGGTTTTTTCAGTTGATAAAGCTCACCATTATTGGGTTTTTTGGGTTTTTTAAAAATAACGAATTTTCAGTTGGATGAGCGTCATTTTTGCAAGAAATATCAGGGATTCCTCGATGATTCCCCAATTCCCGGCTGTTCGCTGTTGGCGTTTGGCGTGAAGGCCTGGGCAGGGGCTCCGTGCCATGTAAAATTCGTCATATTGAATATGCTGAGCCTATAGAATCCTGTCGATAATATGTAAAATTCTGCATGACACGGAGTCTGTAGGCTGACCAGCCAGAGGCATGGTGCAATGCACGGTGTGTGATACCAAGTGTAATTATTTATATCAAGGGGGCTTGCTTTATTTTGTAAGGACATTTTAATTTTGCAACGACTCATAACTTTTGTGATACTTTTGCTAGAGAAGCAACTATAAATCAAATTTGATTGCGTTAATCCATTGTAATCGGATCAGCATTTTTGTAGAGACCATGGGTGTTCCAAGAATATGGAAAAGTGTGCGGCTCCAGAATTGATTTATATAACCATCAGGAAACACACAATCGACGAAGAATAGAATAGAAGATAATCATACTCGTGATTGCCTATGATGATGATGATGATTATGATGAAATGCCTAATCTGTATTAATTCCATATTTAACTAATATCTCACTCGAAACATTTCTTTTTGCGATTTTGTGCGACACAAAAAACTTTTATGTTTCATACCGTCAAAAATGTAACAGTATGTCTCCATTTCCCGCGACGTAAATTTACAGTAGGTGTAAGACTATTTTACAGCGCGATGTAAGTTACAGAATTCCTTTTTCTTTACATCCGTACAGCTCTCAAAGTTGCATCCCTTACAGTACGTTACATCGCATACAGAATCGCACCATTATGATTAAAAATATACATCAAAGGCTGTAGCAACAATTCACCACATCCCTTAATAATATATCCTGGCAGACCTATAAATTTACACTCTTTCTGAAAACTGTTTCTTTTTATAATTTATTTTAGTGTCAATAATCAGTTTTATGTTCAATATTTTGTAATCTGAGACCATATTATGGTAGTGTATTGTTATTGCGGATACAATTAACATTTTAATATTTACTAAAACTTCAAGTTTATAAAATCCAAATGCAAATACTAGGCAAGCGCCATTATAAAGTCAGTGTCAATCACATAGTAGATCAAACGTATAACTCGTAATAATTTGAATTAATTCATAGTTCCTGGAAGTGCTAGTACTCACAATAAACCTATGCACTGATAATGCAGCTGTGATGCTCAAAATAATCATGTGTGGAGTAAAACTGGGTGAGAGTTGGAAAATTGCTTAGATTTTCGTCAAAGCCCCACAGGAGATTTTGGTCCGCAGACTATGAACTTATCAACACGCATCTACAACAAGAGTTCTCCAGCATCACCATGAGCGGGTCATAGGCATTCTGTCATCCACAATCAGCTCTTCCATTCCATTGAAACTGAAGATTGTCAATCCCTTGGCTAACTCAAGCAATTTTTAAACACATTGAAAAAAAGAGAAATTTGTGGCACAAGAAATTGAAAAGCAACTCTGAAAACGACAACATGAACTACAGGAACCAAAATAACTTTTTCAAAGTCAATATAAAACAGTCTAGAAGGAAATATGAACAAGAATTTCTAGCCTCTTCTGATAAGCAGTTTTATTCTTACATAAACAGATCTCTTGGTTTAAGACTAACACATTTCTCACTTAGGGATGTAACCACTGACTACACCCTTAATCAGAAAGAAGTTGCCAATTTGTTTATCAGTTTCAGAGTGTCTTTACAAGAGAAGATCTAAGCCCAACTTGGATCCTGATACATTCTGTGCTAATTCACTTGAAATTGTAACTTTTATACTCAAGAAATTGGATTTCCTGAACAAGTGTGCTGCAATTCTGTCATATACCCTCTCAGCCATGATGAACAATCTTCTTAGGCAAGACAAACTACCAAGCCAAGGCAATGGAAGAATGCAATATTTTAGTGCCTATTTACGAGAAACCTGCCCGAAAACTATAGGCTCATTAGCTTAACAAGCATGCACCCTCTGCAAATGCAAGGAGAACGTCCTGGTATTTGAGATGACTGTCTTTTTGTTTGGAAATGGAATCAACCCACCTTTCCAACACGGGTTTCTTCCTGAAAGGTGCACTTTCACGAACCTGCTTACCAAGGTTTACGACTGGACCAGGGCAGATGACTCTGGCCAGTCTGTTGATGTATATATTACCTGAATTTTGGAAAGGCTTTTGACAAGGTTTCATTTGGGCGGTTTCTTCTAACCTAGATCACTTCTACTTCGACCTTATCCAAGATTTCTTGCAGAATCGACAGTTCTGTGTCAAAATAGGGTTCATGAAGTCAAATTCCAGTGTGGTTTACGGTGGTGCCCCCCAAGTCTCAGTCCTTGGCCCACTACTCTTCCTTATATATATTATTGATCTGCCAAATAATGAGGAGTCAGATGCCGTCTTCTGCGGATGATACCTATTGTTATAGTAATCCTGTAACACAGAATAGAAGCCTTCAGGGTGATATAGATGGCATCAAACAGTGGACAACCAAATGCCACTGAATGACTCCAAGTATTCAATTCTTCATCTGGGCAAAAACAAACCCAGGATGCAATACCTCATTGGGTCTACCCTCTCTCTGAGGCGTTGGTTGCAACCTCGGGTGTCCCGCAAGGGAGTAAACTGGGTCCTCTTTTCGTTTTATGTTTCATTAATTCATTACCTGACTGCCTAAAACACTATAGGACTTCTTTTTGCTGATGACTTCAAGCTCTGCAGGATTGTCAAGCAGCAAGAGACTGTGGAAGGCTTCAATGTGATATAAATAGTGGGATTGACTGGTTCAAAAATAATAGAATGTCCCTAAATGTTCAAAAGTGTTCCGTTGTCAGCTTTACGAGACGAACAAACCCAATAGAAGAATCATATAAGATCGGTGATTTTGAGCTTGATCGTCAAACGAAGATGAAGGATTTGGGTGTCTTTTTCCAGGCCAACAAGAAGTTCAATAAACATTCTATTCATGTTATCAATAAAGCAGTAAAATCACTTGGCTTTGTAATCAGGAATAGTAAGAACTTTAAAATAAGAACAATAATCAATTTGTATAATGCTCTGGTGAGACCTCACCTTGAATATGCCTCACAAATTTGGATGCCACTGGAAGCCACGCATATTAATGAAATTGAAAAAGTGCCAAAAAGATTTTTGCGGTATCTCTATGTGGTTGAAAATAATATACAGGCTGTACCATTTAATACGAAACAGGCTAAATATCTGATGTCACGTTTATTTTTGAAAAAATCGCTCATACACGTAATTTGATTTTCAAAGGGGGAAGTTTTCTGCAACCATTTTTAGCACTTAAACTTTAACTCTCTAGGCGGGGTGGGACCAACCCTTACTATTTCAAATGAAACAAGGGGTCGAGTGATACCTCTTTTGAAAGAGCGTTCAATGTGAAAGAAAATTGAACGCTCTTCTAAAACAGCTATCACTCGACCCCCTGTTCCATTTGGAATGGTAAGGGTTGGTCCCATCCCCCCAGAGCTGTATAGATCTTTTTAATGTAACTCCAAAACAGTTGAAGGCTCTTTTAAATTACGCATATTATGTGTTAATATTGTGTTTTACATTTCCTCCCAACTTTACAGGTAATTAGTAAGAAGAAAGAAAGAATATATGAATAAATAGACATTATAACAGTGCTAGGATAGTAACCGACTCAATACAATAGACTCATTGGTTTATTTTTACTACTCACTTATTGTTTACTAATAATAAATAAATAATATTAATAATAATATTGATATTGTTTTAGTAATAAAATGATTTTCTAGATACAACAAGGCCCAAAAGAGAATATGAGGTAGATGGTCGAGATTACCATTTTGTCGCTTCAAGGGAACAAATGGAAAAGGACATTCAGAATCACCTTTTCATCGAAGCCGGCCAATACAATGAAAATCTGTATGGTACTTCGGTTTCCTCTGTAAGGGAAGTCGCAGAAAAGGTATGTATGACCTATAAATTTATGGAAATGTTATAATATTAAATTTTAGGGAAAACATTGTATTTTGGACGTCAGTGGCAATGCAATAAAAAGGCTTCAAGTGGCGCAGCTTTATCCCATCGCAATATTTATTAAACCTAAGTCTATGGAGTCTATCATGTAAGTACCTACTACCATAAATATATTGCTTTAAAAGTTTCAACATTCCTCAAGTTTGCTTATTAAAGATATGATTGATGGGGGAACTCGATTTTCATTTGCCTACGTTTTGGAAAATATATTTCCTTTATCAAGCCTTCGGAAATAAAATATGTATTCATCTTTAAAGTCAGTTTGTGAAAGTAATTGAACTATGTGCAAATATTTGAAACATTTCTATTGGCTAGGAAACTTGTTTTGAGAATGATTCTCAAGGCCATTTATCATTTAAACAAGTGGATTCTAATTGCAGTTGTTCATTAATTGTACAAAAAGACAAAATTTAATTTAAAAAATATTGAGTCAATTTATCAAATGGCGGCTTACATCAAATACCCAAATCGTTGAAATTTGAAGCTTAAAATTTTTTGAGTATTTGATCTTGAAGTTCAAAAAAAAATTACTTTAAAACCCAAAATCTCAAAGTACATTGAAGCTTTCCAGTAATAGTACCATTTGGCTCAGGAATGATGGTGCAAATAAAAGAGAATTGATAGGGCCCCAAACAGGTATAAACTGGAAGTTGCTTTCACTTTTAAATTGGACAGTATTCAAAGTTACTTGCCACTTCATAAAAATTGTAAACAAAGTCAAGTTGTTTGGATTTATAAACACTAATAGAAACAATATTTTTTCAGGGAGATGAATAAAAGAATGACAGAAGAACAGGGCAAGAAAACCTTTGAAAGAGCGCTTAAAACTGAACAAGAATTTGGCGAATACTTTACAGGTAAAAAAAAAACATTATTTATTTTCCTATTGACACATCATGCATAACAATTTTTTCTTTTCTCTTTTTCAGCTGTGGTTCAAGGTGACACACCCGAAGACATCTACGACCAAGTGAAAGAAATTATTAACGATCAATCCGGACCAACCATCTGGATCCCAGCTAAAGAGAAACTGTGACCACAACCCCCTATGTGGATATTTCCATCACGAAAACCGCAAATTTTACAGTAGGGAGTGAGTTTGTTTTGCACTCTTATCAGCTGTGACATATACTTATACAATTATTTGCAAACCAAAACCTGGTATTATACACTTTGTATAAACATAATAAAATTTTTGGCGTAAATTATTGTAAAGCGCTCTTTTCTGAGGGCTTTTGCTTTTAATAGTACTTATGCGATGTAGAATGTTAGAACTATATTATTATATTTTTTTATTTTACAAAAATATCTGAAAAAAAAATCTAAATGGCTTGACTTAAGGTGTAAACATTTTACATCGCTTCTAATTACTTGAAATATTATATTGGTTGCTTCTAGGAAAATTAATCTATTTGTAATTAGGAAATAGGAAATTAATTTAGTAGAGGGATCAATATGGAATTGAAAACATTTTCAATGTGAGAATGAGCAGATCAAACCAAACTGAAATAAAATAATATGTATTTAAATAATATGACAAAGAATAGCTACTTGAATCTCATAAAACTATTACTGCCATATAAAATGTGTGTATTGTTTGTTTATAAAAATTATTTGCATTTTATTCTTTTGAGAAATATTTCGATTAAGAAACAAAACAGAAACATCACTTGAGAAAAAATAATACTCAAAGAATTGAAGAATGCTCAATTTTATGTAAATATGTAAAACACTTTAAATTTCCTTCAAGCAACCAAATTATTTAGAGAGAAAAACACGATAGATGATATTTTATTCTGGCTTGAATAGTATATACAGTGTGGTTCTGGAATATTACAATTTTTATTTTAACGATATTAAAATTTTTATTCAAATTTTAGCTGTTCTTGTAAGGAATACAAAGTTCCCTATAATCCCAGCCAAAATTATAACCAATCACTTTGGTAGGTACATAGTTTTTTGGATAATAGATATTCATCAACACAATCTCTATAGTGTTTACCGAATAATTATAATCCAATTTATGTGTTTTTATAAGTCTCAACTGCAATAATACATTTTATGTTGAAGCAAAATAAATTAATTATCGTACTTATTACGCTAGAGGGTATTTGAAAAAGTTTGAATTTTCTTGTTATTAGCTAGTTTATAAATGTTTTGTAGTGTGATGTATTATAAAAATATAATTATCATTATTATTAAATTTGGGTTATATCTGCCAATAATAAAATAGTTAAAAAATTATATTACAAAAAATAATAATAATTGTATATACACAAAATATCTATGTGTAGTGCGTAACAAAAGATAATGTTATTGTTAAAAAGTTGTCACTTAACTTATTTGAGTTATTAATAAAACAGATTTTACTAATAATGACGTTTCATATTTAATGCGGTTGTTTGGGTTTGAATCAATTCCTTAGTGAGCATTCACACCAAAGTAGCATGCGGCTTGCGACTTGCTGCTAGGAAGCAGGAAGCATGAAAACTATTAATAGTGATTTGTTGACCAAGTGAGTTGAGGGAATTTTTATTCATGAGAAGAAAGTTTACCCGATGAGCCCTAGGGAGTAGGTTAATTTTCTTCGAATGAATAAACATTTCAACTTGTGATGTATACAAAATTTTATCCCAGTGTGTGGAAATTTAAAAAATAAAACGCAAGGAAAAATGTCGAATGTGAGTTAAAAATATTTTAAATCACTGAATTTTTAGTTGGGCAGAGTGACTTGAAATGTTGAGAGTGAGTTAAATTTTTTTATGTCATACCAGTACATTATTGTGTTTTCATAACTTAGATACCATTTACATAATTCATTACTTTATGTCATACAAATACATTATTGTGTTTTTATACCTTTGATACCATCTACATAATTCATTACTTTATGCCCGTGCGGGCATAAAGTACACATTATGGCCCGCGCGGGCATAAAGACGCAAAAAACAGTTTTCAATTAACTTATTCTTTATTAACAAAATATAAATTTACGCTTATAAACATATTATTTTTGTCAAAAAATGATGATGTTTGCACACTGATGACAATTTGCGAAGTGACACTTTTTTCCCAGGTATTTATTATCCACAACCAACTGGTATGACATAAAAGTTTGTATGCACCACGGGTACTAATAGATATATATACCCTCGGGCGACTTACAAACCCTCGTGCCAGAAGCCCTCGGCTTTGTAAGACTGTCGCCCTCAGGGCATAATCATCTACTTAGTACCCTTGATACATAAATAACTATTATGCCCGTGCGGGCATAAAGTGCACATTATGGCCCGCACGGGCAATAAGACGCAAAAAACAGTTTTCAATTAACTTATTCTTTATTTACAAAAATATATATTTATTATTCAAAACCAACTGGTATGACATAAAAGTTGGTATGCACCACAGGTACTAATACTGCCCTCCTAAGAATAAACGCGGTATGTTCATGAGGCGGTGAACTGAAATATTGACTTTTAAAGTTTTTGGCTTTGCCCTTTCGCATTTATGACATTTAAATAATTTTTATTGTAGATTCTTGTATTAAATATCTCCAGAATTCTATAGAACGTATTTTAATTTCTTAAAATTCAATACTTTTTCCAGAAATCTACATACCGCATTTATTCTTATTATTATGAGGAGTTTCACCAAGAATGAAAGCGGTATTCCGAATAAATTGAATATACCGCGTTTTTCTTTAAAGTTTCCCAGAGGTGTTTGGTATCAGATGCTAAAAATGAAAGCAGTATATGCTAAAACTTAATTTGGTTTCTGTATTTACTATTGTATGAAACTTTTATGGAAAAAACTTACTTGTATTTAGAAAAAATATATTACCAAAATATGAGTTTGTATGAAATTAAATCGAAAATTAACATAAAAGTATAGAAAACTAAATTTTATTCATCACACGAAAAATTTGTAATAAAAAAAAAAACTGATAATATAAAATAAATGGAAAATTAACATAAAAGCAAATCGAACATAAGTTTTAATCATCGCACTCTGGAAGATTCACCCAAAACTGCTTCCGGTTCTCTGGAATAATACCGTCGAGGGCTTTGAGCAACTTTTCTTTTTTGGACTTTGAAAAACCACATGGCTTGGGACAAGAAGCAACTGGTGCCAACAAAGGTCCAGATTTTTTCATAGCTTTTTTGCATAGAAAATCTAAGTTTTTAAAACCTTCCTCGTCTGTCAATGATGTTTTGTACTGGAGAATATACTTTCCTCGAGTAGCTTTTATTTGCACAATATCTGACAAGCGCGAGAAATTTAAATCTTGCTTAAGTTTCGCCTGCGATTTAAGATCTTGCCATAAGTAGAAGTCGTTATGAGTCATCATCTTTACGTCGACTTTAGATTTTCTGGATGTGCTGACTGCTTGAACAAAGTCGTCAAAATCATAAGTTTTTCCCTGTCTCTTCAGTGACAACTCAACCTGGTGGTGAAAGCTATCAGCCGCCATGAACGTATGGCCTGGTTCGAAATAGTTTACTATGAGTTCTTGGGCTGCAATTTCACTTGAATTGACCATTCTTACTAAAAATGTCAGAAAGCACCAGTTTTTATTTTGGCTGGCACAATTATCCAGCCAAAAGTTAATAAGATTTGCATCCCTTTGACTCAATAAGAAGGCATAAAATGTGCTTATTATGTCTTCCTTATTGCGCCCACTTATAGATTCATTCCAAATAACTGCGAACGGTGGTAACTTCGAGTTTTTTCCCAGTGGAACGAAGCTTTCGTGATATGTGGTCAATCTTTGTACAAATATAATTCTTTTGAATGAGTCGATTCTAGGAAGCATTATAATTTTTTGCAGATCTACAGAAACACAGACACTAGCTGCGTCACTAGCTTGTTTTCGATATAGTTTTCTGGAATTATCCGCATGTTCGATATGCCTTTTCCAATTGACACATATTTCACAATTTACTTGAAAATTATCTTTTGTGTGCTCATGTAGTTTGGCTTCCTCGCACATTTCACATTCCTCGTTGCCTAGTTTTGCAAAGGAAATGTTCTTTGCTCTTGCTTTAACTCTATAGGATTCATATGACACTTTTAGATCTGGATGTTTAGAAACAAAATCTTCATGCATGTTAGAAATCGATATGTCGCTCGGAAGGTACCTTCGATTAGGAGCATGTTCACGCCTATAGTGTGAAATGCTCGGGTTGAATGATTCTATATGTTCATTGATCACTGTATCATCAATTTTGTATTTATTTTTTGCCCTTCCGCGCATGTTTGGAAGTGGAAGATATTGACCTCTAGGAGTTTTTGAAAGTGTGTCATGAACAATCCTATCATTGTTTTTTTGAAATCCCAACGTTGTTAAAAAAAAGACTTTACATATTTCTCGTCGCTCATCATTTTTTGTTTTAAAGTGATATTTAAAAGTATTGTTTTTCCTGGGAGTGTCTTCACAATGACGACGTTTTTTTACTGTTAAGCGGTCACAAGAACTTAGTATATAACTCTTCCTTTCTTGACTCGTAAGTTGCCAAAAGTGCTTATTTATATCACTTCGTTCAGTTTCTGAAAAAATTGAGACACATTTTTTCCTGCATTTATTTGTATTACATCCAGGCCGTACTTGGTGCTTCTCTATTATAGATTTTTGTCGCTTTTCTTTGTCTTCATATAATTCTTCGGTAGTTCTTGGTTTCTTCCTTTTCCTAATAGTACCTTTTTTCGTATAATTTGACTTCTCAATATTTATTATCTTTCCTGATCCAATCAACTTGCTAAGTGGCATGTTATCCTCTTCATCACTACTTTCCTCCATTTCTTGAATATCAGCAGTAATTGTATCTGTACCATTTAATTCAAATGTTTTCTGCGCGGCACAATTTTCTATTTGATTCAAATCATCATTACCACCAACGATATTCGGGGTAATATCATCCCTCGTAAAATTATCTAGGTCCATCATAATAGAAACGTTTGGCTCAGCTTCGGTCGAGCATTCGGTTTGAATTTGGGCGTAGGAAATATGGTTATTTGAAATTGTACAGGATGTTTTTAGGGGAATCAGAAATTGGTGTGTTGGAGCAGCTACTGCCGTTTGGACAGGTACAAGGTCGTCTGGTATATCTGTATTTCCAGAACAATTTTGTGAAAAAGACTCTCGTGGCTGGCATGTAAGCATGGGTGCTGATTCCATCAAACTATCGTTTTGAAACATGTTTTCTAAAGGTGTGTACGATAACTCATTCGGTTGGATTCCGCAGCAACTACTACTATAACTACTATTAGCAAAATCTGCCATGGGCACTGGTGATAAAGGATTCAAAACTGGTTCATCATCATCATCATCATCATAATTTTCTGACGATAGCTCTTGAAACTTCTTGGAAGCCAACTCAAGTATCAAACTTGTCCGATTTCGGAAACTCATTTTCTGGAATAAAATAAGTTTTTTGATTTCCCACATTTCCAATAAATCATAATTAATAAGTCAGGTACCAAAATTTCACTGATAAAAAAAAACTATGAACTATTATGAAAATAAAAATTAGTACTTACCTAAGAAATCTATATATTTTTTTCACATTAACAAATAATAGACAGCAAAGAACACTGAAAACAGACAATTGAACTACAATAATAATGAGCCATTCACACCTCAAATGCATCTAATTTACCGAAAAATGAAAAGCGAGTCTAATCCTGCAAGAAAGTGACATCGCAATTCGTCAATACCAAAGAAAAACGCGGCATTATTCACATACTTTAGATAAACGCGGTAAGTTCGCAAGCAGCCAGTATTTTTACCGCCTTTATTATTGGTAGAGCCTAGATACCGCATTCATATTTGGCACAAATTGGTAATAGGAACATACGGCAGGTTTTTTGTGTATAGTTTTAAATAGTTCTAGTTAAGATACGGCGTTCATATGTGGCAGACAGCTAAGTTAAAGCAAAAGAAAATTTTTGGCAACAAAAACTCGATATCCGAAATTGTTAAACATACGGCGTTTATTCTTAGGAGGGCAGAATAGATATATATACCATCGGGCCACTTTCGAACCCTCAGGCCAGAGGCCCTTCGGCTTTGTAAGACTGTCGCCCTCAGGGTACCCTTTATACATAAATAACTATTTTATTACTCATGCATCATAATCGACGATTATCGCATGCTGCAGCGTGCATAAACTCATGTTTATGATGCGCCTACCTTTTCAAAGGTTTGCTATAGAAACGTTTGATCTACCTATATTACCTAGATATTTACCTGGCGTTCAAATTAATAAAATCTGTTTTTTTTTTTAAAAGATAAAAGTCAAAATGACATTATGTTGGCAATACCATGTAAAATTGTCAATGCTTTCAAATTTTTTATGTAGAAAAGGCTTGTGTTGCCAACATAGTTACTAAATTTTTGACTTGGAGAATTATCTTTTAAAACAAAAAACAGACTTTATGTATCAAAATTAATTACCACACTTAGAAAAAAATTGAGATTATGATGCATTCGTAATAAAAAATAGCGTATGATATTCGTGTACAAAAGCCTTTAAAGCCCTTGCGACTTAAAAGCACTCCACTGCGCGTCGTGTTTTGAAATTTGTCGCGTGCACTTTAAAGACACTTATAATATACTATTAAAATGACTGAGGTGATAAAATTCTACTTACCTTCACTGTAATGCGTTCAATAATGTAGTTTTTAAAAGTCAAAATGGGATAAACGCATTTGCTTACATTGCTAGGAAGAAATTTTAAAGAAAAAGTAGTTAGTTGCGCGAAATATAAGCTATTTTCGGGTTCGAAAAAAGGACGGTTCTAGAACGGTTCAAAACAATCGCACAGTTTATTATTGAACTTTGTGATAGCTGAGCCGTTGTCATTTTGTTGATTGATGAACTGTGCGATTGTTTTAAACCGTTGTTAGAAAGTTTTCACAGGTAATGACCAACGTGAATTCAGGGACACAACGGTCCCTGTTTGGGAATCGACCCACTGAGTAGTGGACTCAGGCTTCCCGTGCCAATCCTTGACGCGTTTCGTCCTTGTTAGGACTCATCAGAAGGACATAGTGACATAGGCTGAAGCTCCCTGTCCAAGCAAAATTCAACTTCGTTGACCAGTCAGAAACAACTACTCCTAGGGCAAATACCCCTACCGGCGTTGAACTACACTGATTGATCTGAGCTTTCGTTGGCAATGAAAATTGTTAGAAAGTTTTTACAGGTAATGACCAACATGAATTCAGGACAAGGACGAAACGCGTCAAGGATTGGCACGGGAAACCTGAGTCCACTACTCAGTGGGTCGATTCCCAAACAGGGACCGTTGTGTCCCTGAATTCACGTTGGTCATTACCTGTAAAAACTCTCTAACAATTTTCATTGCCAACGAGAGCTCAGACCAATCAGTGTAGTTCAACGCCGGTAGGGGTATTTGCCCTCGGAGTAGTTGTTTCTGACTGGTCAACGAGGTTCTAGAACCGTCCTTTTTTCGATCCCGAAAATAGCTATTAAATAAAATTTAGTGAGAACGATTCTTGAAAACACGGTTATACGACACTGCTAAAAAACTATGAGTAAATCACTTGTGTTAGTCCGTTAATCTACATTCTCACCAGTAATAGTAGTATTAAATTTGAGATATTAAAAAGTATAAGTAATTTAACACAAGCCTAATACACTTCCGTACAAATCGAAACAGTAATTAATCAAAGGGATACTAGTAACTAGGCATCAGAAGGGTTCTCACTCTTAGCGGACTTAACTGCTCTTTTTTTAATATTTTTATTTTTTTTGTTTTGAAAACCAAGCACCAAACTAGCAGTGTAGGTAGATCAAGCATATTTGCAGATAGTGACAGTTGCGTAATATTGTTGCACTTTTACGAGAAATAGTATATTATTCAACAAGCGAGTAATGATGGCTATTACTCATGAAGGATGAAGTTTGCACTACGAGCCGCAGGCGAGTAGTGTAATCATCCGAGTGAGTAATAGCCATTACCCATACTATACTTTTTTTATGATTAATAAGATAATAGGCACGAGTTATGCGGTTTTTTATTTAATTTTCATAACAAAAATAATTGACAACTCTGACACCTGGAGGACAGAGTGAGGTTAGGTTAGCACAAGTCTTGTTTAAATCAGCTGTCAAAATGACCGATTGGAAGGTTGAAATATGTTGGCAACTTGTCGAATTTTTTGATTGGCTCTTCAATAGTGGAGTAATGAGACAGGATATTTTCATTGGTTGAAAACAATTGAGTAATTAAAAAAACTCACTGTATGAGTAATCATTCACATTGATCAATAGAAAATGGATGTATATTACGCTTATTATTCAATACTGTGTTATAATAATGAATAATGAAAGCATTCAAAATTACATTAATGTCCGACTGGTATATATTATTCGAGAAATAATGACATTATGTCAAAGTCAGTTAAATTCGAAATAATTCCCTAGGGCGTTATTCCAAAAAATAACGCCATACGCAGGGCCGTCTTAAAGCATGGGCCAGCTGGGGCCGAGCCCAGGGCCTCCGGCGCCTAAGGGGCCTCATCGCTAAGTCCACGCCTAGTTAAAAATATTTTATGGAAAAAAAAAAAATAGGCGGGTACCAGGTACCGCCTAGCGAAAAAGTTTAACAAAAAGTAAAGAAAAACTATATTTTTTAAAATTTTGATCCACATCAACCATAAAATATACAGGGTGTTTCACGAACATCAAAACAGGCGTTTTGGGGTATTTCAAGGCCGATTTAAAAAAAAACGCTCGGACACATCAATTTTGTATTCAAGGGGGAAACTTTTTGACCCCATCGGTATTTCACTAGGGTGCACCCCCTGGGTGGGGTGACTTCACTCCTCTTTTTAAAATAAGATGGGTCGAGTGGTACCTTGTTTCACAGGAATTTTGATTCCTCTCACAACTGTACTTTTTTTGAAAATCAAATGATTAGTTCTCAAGATATTCACTGTCAAAATGGCCATTGGCTAAATAGGAAAAAATCTTCTGGCCCAGTTATTCTCAAATTAACACTTTCTTGACTTTCCTCTCGGACATGTCAATTTTCTTTTTTTATGTGCTTCCGAAAAAAATTAAAATTGACGTGTCTGAAAGGAAAGTCAGGAGAGTGTTAATTTGAGAATATCAGGGCCAGAAGATTGTTTCTTATTTAACCCATTTTGACAGTGAATATCTTGAGAACTAATCATTCGATTTTCAAAAAAAGTACACTGTTGTGACGAGAATCAAAATACCTTTAAAACAAGATAGGTACCAATCGACCCATCTTTCCTATCTAAAAAACAGGAGTGAAAGTCACCCCACCCAGGGGGTGCACCCTAGCGAAATACCGATGGAGTCAAAAAGTTTCCCTCTTGAATACAAAACTGAGATCGACCTTAAAATACCCCAAAACAAAAACGCCTTTCTCGATGTTCGTGAAACACCCTGTATATTATTTTCAGAAAGATCAGGAAACATCCACAATATATATAATACATAACATTTCAGAAGTTTTTCTTATTTATTAATTTCGTATTTCCTAGAGCACCCCCCCCCCCCTCCTCTCACCCCCCATAGGTAAGGGGCCTCCTTTTATATATAGGCCCAGGGCCTCAAGAAGTCTTAAGCCGTCCCTGGCCATACGACGTTATGACTATTTTTTTCAAATAGGAATTAACCTTCCTGTGGCGTAATTTCCAAATAACGCCCTACGGCGTTTTGATTATTTTTTATTCAATTTATTCAAAATTCAGTCTAAATTTTCTTATATAAAAAATAATGAAGTCGGACATTAAACGTTAAAGGCACCACGGGTATTAAGGATATTACCGGTTTCGGCACCTTTTTTTCTAGAATTTCTAGATTTCTTTGGGTTTGAATCAATTCCCTATAGAGCCAATCGTTTAACAAGCTTAATAGGTACCTACCTATTTCACAAGATTTATTCCTGAAAAAATGAAAATACAATCAGATTTTGCAATACATTGTATATTTTCACGCACTGTGTTATGTATAAAAACCATATAAAATGGATAAAGCACTTTAGTTAGGACGGATGACATTTTTTCTACGAGCGTGCGGGAAATGGCTCTTCCCGCACGATTTGCTGTGCGGGAAGACTTTCTCCCCGCACCAGTGCGGGAAGAGATTTCTTCCCGTACTCAGTGCGGGAAGAGTTTGAAATAATCATGTGACATGGAATTGTTTGTATTGTTGAAACACCTATGATGCCTTTACCTTTAATACCTTCACGTTGTTTTTTTTATAAATACCTTCAATACGTTTTTAATTCTACCTTTCTGCACAATCGCATTTTATTTAAATTAAAATTCTCGTAACATCAGCTTTAGTATGCTCGTAGAAAAAATATAGTTCCTAACTCTTGCGGGAAGAAATTTCCGGCACTCGAGCGCTTCGCACCCTAGTGCCGGAAATTTCTCTTCCCGCACTCGTTAGGAAAATAGCTATTTTATAAACATGAATAAAATTTAGTGGTTAGAAGGTGAGAAAATAAATTAATAACGCAATAAGTAATGTTAATAAACCAAAAAATATTGAAAAATCGCTTTGGTAGAATTGGAACAAAAAGAACTTCAATATTCATCTCCTTCATCAGCTTCGCCTTCAATAGAATCCACAGCGACCTAAATAATAAATAATTCGAAAGATGAAATTGTAAGAAAATAGGAAAAGTTCACCTCTTCATAGTCCTTTTCGAGCGCAGCCAAGTCCTCACGGGCCTCGGAAAATTCACCTTCTTCCATACCTTCGCCGACGTACCAATGAACGAACGCTCTTTTGGCATACATCAAGTCAAATTTGTGATCTAAACGCGCCCAGGCTTCAGCAATCGCTGTGGTGTTCGATAACATGCATACTGCACGTTGGACTTTTGCCAGATCACCACCTAAAATGAAAAGTAAAAGGTATACTTACTTTTATTGCCAAAGAATGTGGGTTATTTTTATCTAAGAACGGCTTCTACTGAGCCAGATAAGATTTATAACATCTTTCAAAGTTTTCTATAGAATTTCTGTGTTTTCGGCTGAGCTGATGACTGTGACTCACTCTGGAAAATTCAGGTAGGCACTAAGAACTCGAAATGTCTTGGATCATGAAACTGAATAGAATAATTGGTGTGCATTATTACATCATGTTTCAACTCCTAAATTCCTGAACAGTTTCATTATCACAAAACACATACACTCAAATGAAGCGGTGAGCGGTGCACACTGGCGTTTCTCAAACAGGAGAGCAGAAATTGTTTCGCCAGTGTGCTCCGCCTCATTTGAATGTATGTGTAGTATGATAATGAAACAAATTTCCTGTTTCTTGCAACAAGTTTTATGTAACTTATTTCTCGAGTGTGTCACCTGCCTTAGACTCAAAATCTATCAAACCAGAAAAAAGCTATACATAACAGACCTTCGACATGCCATCCCTCTCTTCTTCTCTTAGACTCTAAGAATCTCAGATTATCTGTTTCTCAGATCAACAAAACTTACATCTAATATCTGTAATGTGTGATCGGCGGTAAATAACACAAGACTTGTTTACGGAGTCAAATTACTTGATCAAAGAAATAGGTTGGTACTATAAAAAAATTCTCTAACATCATATACTTAACGCTGGCCTTTTTTTGCCCTTAATATTCTTGTGGGTAGGGCTGCCATCCGTCCGGATTTAAGGCTTCTTGAAAAAATCACGAATAACTCCTCGAAATTAGAGATTAAAGTGTGGTAACGTTACCGCGGTAACGGTAATTTTCGTAAGGTAATTTTGGTAATTTAACCCGACAAATTTTTTTACCGGTAATTTTCAGAAATGCTTCCTGAATGAAATCACTTTCAGGCGACAATACTTTTCATGCATTATTCGCTATCTAGTTGTGAATCTGTGACGCGCTTTCAGGGTTGGCACAAACAAATAGTTATTTACCTAACAAGTGCGGAAAGTGGTGCTTTTCCCACGCGATGGCAGTTGGCGAGCTGTCAAGGGTGGAAAGGACATTTTCCGCAGAAGTTAGGTGTAATGTTTTTCCACAAGTATTTTTGTCCATCACATTTATCAAAAATTGATCAAAAAATCTGTGTAATATCTAGGTTTTCTCAATGGAAAATAGTTCCTATAGATAGTAATGTGATTTGAAGTAAAAAATATGTAGTACCTATATTTTGAATTAAAACATTGTGCTCGTAGGAAAAACCTATTTCAAAAACCCGGTGGGTGTTTGTTGAGTTCTGAAATTGAGATTATTTGGAATTTCAAAGAGTCAAAGATCTTAAAACACAAAAACCTCGACAAAAACCCTACAAAAGCACAACTCTCGCAAAAACCCAAAAAACCAATAGAAATTTTCAAAAACCCGGGCTTTTGCCAACCCTGTGCGCTTAAAGTAATCCATTTTCTTGACAGAGTTATCTTTTATGCTATACTTATTCAGCTCATTTTATTTCTTTGTTTTCTTTTTATCCTTTAAAAGTAGGTATTTACAATACTATTTAGTTTAGCACCAGATTAGGAGAATTTATTTCTGTTTTATTTTTGTTTGATTTTCTTTGCTCGTTTTTCGTTCTAGAAATTAGGTAGATATTATTATTTGATTAATTATTGTAATATTTCTATGAGATTAGATTTTACAACAAACAATATTAAATAAATAGTTATTTAGGTAAAAAAACCTGAAAATCTATAATCCTTGAACGTATAGGTAACAAACAATTATGACAATATACATAATTGTTTGTTTCATGAAATATTTCCAAAATCACCAAAATAACCGGAAAATTACCGGTAAATTACCACTGAGAAAGAACAAATGAAAATTACCGGTAAACTTCAATCTCTACTCGAAATTGACAAGAATCATGGAAATCATCAATCGATGAGAATAATTTTTTGTCAAAATAATGGGTGGTTCTTGAACGCTTAAAATAAAAATTTCTGGACGTAGCACCCAAAAAAAAATTCCATCTGCGGCGGATACCCTCTAGTGGTGTCCGGGTTTGTGGGGTTTAAGTCCAGGGTTTTTCTAGGAATTGTCCTAGGTAACAAATTTCATAAATGGCAGCCCTACTTGTGGGCCAATTTTTGACAGTCAATGGGTACCTCAAGCATACTTACACTTATTTTATGCAATGCAAAGAGTTAAAGCATAAAGTTTAAAAGTTCTTTTGTATACTTTACCTGGAACTACAGTCGGTGGCTGATAGTTAATTCCAACCTTGAATCCAGTAGGACACCAATCAACAAATTGAATTGAGCGTTTTGTTTTAATGGTGGCAATGGCAGCATTGACATCTTTGGGAACCACGTCTCCCCTAAGAACATAAACATATTCTGTGAACTAAATCAATTTTACCAAGTGGAGGAATATGGAAGAACTTTGGAGACTGTCCCTAACAAAATGTATTCTCAAACAAAAAAAACAAAAAAACGCTCATAAGCTCAGTGAAAACCAACTGACAGAATATTTGAAGTTTAGCATCCTAAAATCAGTAGAACAATGTCAGGTTTTCTGATGTTTGAAGAAAACATTGATTTCTTACTGAAGCTCAAAATTGAATATTCTCATACAAACCCTGATAGGATGAGTTAGCATTAGATTTATCATAAACTGCGGGGGGCTTTGGAAACGTTCATATTGGTGCTGATAACATCTTGTCATCATTGGCAAATCTTGAGGTGAATGATCATGTCCCTGTTTTACTTAACTCAATCCAAATCATCCCAATCTCACCAATGCTCCAGGCTAATGAAAATTTTTGGAGAGATTGGGTCACAGTCAAACCCCTTTTTACCTTGAATTTTTCTGGCTCTTCTTGCAGACTCACAGATGCTGTAGCATGGTGATGAATATACCTATGCTCAATGACGTTATTGTATCTAGGGTTGCCAGACGTCCCGATTTTAACGGGACAGTCCCGATATTGGAGATTTTGTCCCGTGTCCCGATGGACTATACGTCGGGACGCTAAATGTTCCGATTTCACGGAATTTTTCAAAAAGTTGAAAAAAAGTACCCACTTATAAGACACTTATTTTTGAATTGTACTTGTTAATTATTTATTATTATTATTCATAATGATTATCAAGATTCTTTTGGTTTCGAAGATAAGAATAAACTAATGCATTTTATGCATTTTAGGGATTAAAAGTACCCCTTAAATCCCTGTTTCAAGGGAGTGAAGTGGGTCTTTAGATCCCCGGGATTAAATTTCACATCATTTCAAATCAAATCAAATCAAAATTAGCTTTATTGTCCAAAATTTTTACTTTATTACCCGGGGATTAAATGAACAGGGAATGAAAGGGTACCTACTTTTAATCCCTTTAAAGTACATGAAATAGTGTGCGGACTAAAGTGTTTTTTGATAAAAGTACCACTTTGGTTCCTAACTGAATAATGTACCATTATTATTTTGCGTAATTTTTTATTTTTAAATTTTGTTGGAAGTTTATTCAGTTACATTCTATTTCGTTTATATTAAATTAGGTATTCCTTCAAAAAAAAAGTGTCCCGATTAGTGAATCAAACACTTATTCGTACTCGACAAAATTGGAAGTTAGTTTAGTTAGTGATAAAGTTTAATCCTAGGCTACTTCTAGATCTGCTCTGTTTCCGTGCTCAATCATTATTTCGATATGAAACGAATTGTGGCAAAGTAGACTTATGGACCGGTAATTACAAATACATATCTGATGGATCGCTTTTTTCTTTTGAATAAATTATTGGCACATTGTTCGAAAATGTCACTGCTTTTGAGAGATTGTAGAGAATAACGACGACATTGACGATTGAGCTACAAGCCTGCTTAAATTGTTCTATCATGCAGAGGCGCACCCAGGTTTTTTATTTGGGGGGGGGTTTTCATAATGATGAAGGCTCGCCACAGGCAGGCGCTGCCGTAGGCCGGGCACCATAGGAAGAATTTTTTTTCGGGTGTCACGCCCAAAAACGCTTATTTTAAGCCTTCAAAAAATAACTTTTCGTGAGTGATTGCATAGTGTCAGAGCTGCTGGGCAACATGCGAATTTTGATACCACATGCAGATGGATCACGTCCATGCTGAAACACAGGACTATAAACTCGACTATCGCTGAAACCTCTGGAGTACTTTCACCACTCTTGTGGAATCTAGTCGTGGATGAACTTCTGAGGAAACTAAATGATCAAGGCTGCAACACCCTAGGCTACGCGGACGACATAGTCGTTATCATTAGGGGATAATTTACCAGGACACTATCAAACTTCATGCAGGACGCCTTAGGAATCATTGAGGAATGGTGCACGAGGGAGCCACTTCGCGTCAACCAGTCCAAAACAAAACTCATTCCTTTCACGAAAAAAAGAAATCTGGAGAACTTAATCGCCCCCAGTCTATTCCAAAAAACCTTGGAGTTTGGCAGGGAAGCTAAATTTCTAGGCATCATCCTAGATATGGAGCTGACATGGAACCAAAAGAGCGATTGGGAAAACATGGGGACTAAAACGGTCAGTTGTACAATGGATATACACTACGGTTGTAAGATTAATGATAACATATGGGGCACTTGTATGGTGGCCTAAAGTGAACCAAAGACAAGCAAACCTGAAGCTAGCCAAAATCCAGAGACTTGCGTTTCTTTGTATTACCGGTGCCCAGAGAAGCACACCAACGGCAAGTATGTCAACCTCTAGGAGAATACACTACTGTATTCTAAGCAGAAATATATGCCATCGACCCCTGTCTGAGAGAAAACCTGAGGAGGGGATACACAGGTAAAAACATTCCTATCTGATGCTCAGACGTTCAAGCGTCGACCAAAACACTCAACAGCTTTGAAATAAAATCCAAACTTGTCTGGGAATGCTTGAAAAACCTCAAAAACCTGAGTATGGCCAACAAGGTAACCCTTAAATGGGTGCCAGGGCATAAAGGAATTGAAGGAGATGAAAAAGCAGATGCTCTGGCAAGAGACGGATCGGCAACCAGTTATACTGGTACTGAACCGGTAATTGGCACCACAAAATCATCGGTAAGAACAAAAATAAATCAATGGGTGTATAGACAACACAAAACCTACTGGCAAACTCTTCCGAAGCTTAGACACAGTAAGCGAATGGTATACAACAACCATCACCTAAACCGTAAATCTACTGAAGAAATCCTACAAACTAAACAGGAATCAAATCAAGCTAATAACTGGACTTATAACTGGATACTGTAGCCTCAGAAAACACCTTCAAACAATAAGCATCCTCCAAGAAAGAACCCATATGCAGACTTTGTGACGAGAATGATGAAACCGCCACCTACATAATCTTTGAATGTGAGGCTTTACGCTGGTGGAGATACAAATAGATAGGGTCAGAAGACCATATCTCTAAACTCACCAAAAGTAACTCGGTGAAGAGGCTCCTAAACCTAATCAAGGTCAGGAAACTTTTCACTGACTAAACAGACGAAGAGGAAAATACAATAGGCCGACGGCTGCAGTGTTGGGGTCACCTAACAGCCTGTTCATTCTGCATCTTAACCAACCAACCAACCAACCAAGTTATTTGTTTAATTCGCTGTTTACTCACTAAATCAACTCGCTGTAGGAGGCAAAACCTTTTAGGGGTGCCATGTATATAAAATAGAAAGTTTGTAGGTACCTATTAACCAAAATCGCAAAAAAAAAAAATATTTTTACCGGAAAATTCTTTGTACTAGTGCTAAATTTCGGGGGGGTTTTAACCCCCAAAACCCCCCCCATGGGTGCGCCACTGCTATCATGCCATCATATTCAGCGGCATTTCCTTACTTCATGTTGTTCATGGTTCTTTCATATTGTTGCTAAAATAACTGTTGCTCTGGCTCTGGAATATCTTTGAAGTGGTGATCGATAAAGTTCTCGACTTAGTTGTAGTTCTGTTTCCTACTCTGCTTCTCATTTGATACTACTCAGTGTTCCGTTTTTCTTGTTTTTTAAGTAGCATCCATTTTCCTTTTATTCTATCACCCTTGAACTTGCGACTAGTATGCTGAACTTCCTCAAATCTTTTCTGATTTGTTTTCATAATTATTTATTGAGACTTTTTCACTTTTCTGTTGTTTTGTTATTTCTGTCCTCCAATGTTCATAGTTCTTCTAAATGTGTGTATCTGCTTTTGCCTTGTGACTGTACAAAATCTATTAAAATATGCCACATGATCAACACTATATCAGTCAAGGAGCTTCCATCGCCAATGGCGTTATTGCCCAGAACTGTTCCGAAGTCGTTTGTTTTTAGCCAAATTTAATCTAAAAATTGCCCATGAAAAGTGTGCTACGACTCTATTAATACCTATGCTCTCCTCTGGATATCAGCAATCTTCTTTGCATATTTCTTGTGGATAATGAACCCTATTCCACAAAGTGGAGTCCTCCTCATTTATGATACAGACGTTTCCCAATTTCTAGGTCAGTTGTTCGCCTGCTTGTCTTCTAAAATCGTTCATCTCATTTTATCCCTTTAAGTCCTCCTATTAACTCTCCATGTTCTGAGCAGTTGCGATCCAATTTGATGAGATCCTTTCCGGGTTGTCTGTGCAGCGAGGGGAAGATCTTCCTCGGTTTCGTTTGTCGGCTCTTGGTCTCCACTCAATGAGTTTCTTCGTCCATCTCCCGTCCTCAGATCTTCCGACGTGGCCTGCCCATTTCCACTTTTGTTTTGCGATACATTCTACAATATCGTCCTTGCAAGTTCTTATGCGGATCTCATTGTTCCTTATTCGGTCTTTTAAAGTCAATCCAAGCATGGATTTTTCCATTTGTCTCTGTGTTAGTCTCAACTTTTCTGCTTTGGTGACAGTCAATATCTCCATAGGTCATGACTGAAACGACACACTGGCTGAATGCTTTTCGTTGCGAATGCCAGCCCTAAGCACATCCTTCATCTTCCCGAATGCTACCCATTCCAAGGTTATTCTTCTCGTCAATTCGCATGTTTGATTATCTCTGTGAATTATCATCTCATGACCCAGGTATACGTACTTGTCCACTATTTCTATGTTATTATTGCCTATTTGTAGGTATTTGTTCACTGGGAACCAGATTAGTCATCATTTTGGTTTTCGAGAAGTTCATCTTCAGGTCCACTTCTTGCATGGAATTTCTGGAGCATTTCTTTAGCTTCGCCCAGAATGACTGATATTAGGACAATATCATCTACAAAGCGAAAATTATTAAGACTTTCCCCATCGATGATTATTTATTTTCGCTTCGAAAAGCAAAATTCTTAAAAGCATCTTCGAGAACTTTGATGAATAGTGACATAGTGTCACCATTTCGGATATGTTTTTGATAATTCCGCAATATCGGTGATCAACTCCAGTTTCTTGTAGTGGTCTCAAGATTGAAGCAAGTTCCACGGTGTCGAAAGCCTTTTGGAAGTCTACAAGGGTTTGAGACACCGAAGGTGATTGTTAGTACTGAGGAAAACCACCTATTTAAAATATTATTTCTTAAAATCCTAACTTAAAAAAAAAAAAAAAAAACGTTTACTGAATAAAAGTAAATGTTGCAACCATGTATGCACCCTCAACTTTAGGATTGAACGAGCGCGCCACAGAAAACGAAGGTACCGAAACCGAAGAGGATACAAGAGAATACGCAACTAGACTACAGAACGAGCTGGACTGGTCCCTTAGAAAACGTGTCGCGTGTCTGTAATTATTCATTATTCAAGTTTCATTTTTATTTTGCATCAAACTTGATTGTTCAATCCAATTTGTTATTAGTGTGTGTGTAAGAAGCGTTCACAGGTTAGTTGATTAATTATTATTTTGTTTATGAGAGTTCAATTTATACAAATATGATTTTTTCCATTTTCATATTTTTTTTTGTTTGTTTATAACATTTTTTTTATAACATGTGCATTGTTCATGTATTTAACAAAAATCGTTTCATGCTGTTAACAACACCGATAAAGAAGTAAATTAAAACCTAAGAAATTATATGCTGTCTTTTTGTGCTGAGATTTTGATTTTGTGTATTCAGAACGTGCATTAGGGCCTTGTTGAATTTACTAACATTTTCCTACCCTGACGAGAGAATATCCTAGCTTTTGTGGGAATGCTATTTAGTGATTTACTGATGTGATTTTCAAACTCTTTTTCATTTGTCGGAGGTGTCCATTTTTTTAGTCTTTTTCTAATAATCATTCTTTGACGCTCTTTACTAGAACTGATTTGAATATTGGCTCTTACCAGCCGCTTACAGTAGCAGCTTATGATCTGGAAACCCAAGAACGATTAGTCGAAGCTGATCGTTCTTAGGAACCAATATATGAAATGTTAGGAGGTTATTTCTGAAAGAATACATTTTGTTTTTTTTTTAATAAAAATATGCTACAACAAAATATTCACTTTGTTGATCCCACCTGTATAACATACAACAAGCCATATATTTTCCATGCCTCGGGTCGCATTTCACCATTTGGTTGGCTGGTTCGAAACAGGCGTTAGTGATTTCAGAAACTGTCAATTGTTCGTGGTAAGCTTTTTCAGCTGATATTACAGGGGCGTAGGTGGCAAGAGGAAAATGAATTCTGGGGTAGGGCACCAGGTTCGTCTGGAACTCGGTTAGGTCTACGTTTAGGGCACCATCGAACCGGAGGGAGGCTGTTATTGATGAAACGATCTGAAATTTAAATGAAACATATACTATCATATCTGATAGCAATCTTTTATTTTGAATTCTGAAGGGTTGTTTAAAAGAACTGCATATTTATGATAAATGTTTGGGATATCATATTTTAATTCTCATGAAAATGGAAGTTGAACAAGTCCATATTAATTCAAATATTACTCGTTCTTCTGTAAAGCTATTAACCCTCCTCCACAATGTTTTTTGATGATATAAGTTATTGGAAGGGTAGTGGATTGTAGAAATCTGAATGTTAGATAATTCATTTTTATTTACGTGCCTATATCTCAAAATCTAACAAAATTGAACTGCAGAAAGTATAGTTACCTACCTGGCCAATCAGTCTATTTAAATTAGTATAAGTAGGTCTATCAATATCCAGATTCCTACGGCAAATATCGTAAATGGCTTCATTGTCTACCATAAAGGCACAATCAGAATGTTCTAAAGTAGTGTGAGTAGTCAAGATTGAGTTATAGGGTTCTACAACTGCGGTGGACACCTGAAAAAATAGGTCAATTTGCAATCCATTCTTTCGATTTTATTGGTGGATCAAATATTTAAAAGGATTTACACTTTTGAACGACTAACCTGTGGTGCTGGATAAATGGAAAACTCCAATTTCGATTTTTTTCCATAGTCGACGCTCAATCGCTCCATAAGTAAACTGGTGAATCCAGAACCAGTGCCGCCACCGAATGAATGGAAAACCAGAAATCCCTAAAGAAAAATCCGATAAATTTCCTCTTGATTTTCTCAAGAGAAATAAACCAATATATGTTTATTCAACAAACACGTCAAGACAATAACGTTATAGATATGAAGATATAAGTTAAAGATATAAGAAACCTTATGCCTCCTAAGTTAGGAGCTAAATATTACCAAATTGATTTAGGCAAGTAAGTAATAATCTAAAACTTTACAATCCAGCCATCTGGGAGAATGCTTACATCAAAAAAAAAAAAGATTTATTTAAGCACCGTGGTACGTGATATCCCGATATCAAAAAAAAAAAAACTCGATGAGCATTCCAAGAATTGGCAATTACACCCTTATATTACCTCTACTGCAAAAAAGCATTATCAATTTGACGTCGTGAAAAAATGGCATGATGTGATCTACCAAGTTTAAATATCAACGAATTTAGATTGCTCCGATGATAAAATCATATCAATCTTACTTGTAATCCTGTACATTGATCAGCCAGTTTTCTAATTCTATCCAGAACTATATCGACAATTTCTTTTCCGATAGTGTAATGGCCTCGTGCGTAATTGTTTGCAGCATCTTCTTTACCAGTGATGAGTTGTTCGGGATGGAATAATTGACGGTACGTTCCAGTGCGGACTTCATCTAAAGAAAAAATGAAATGAAATAGGTATGTATAGGTACCTACTTACCTTGGTTTGCTAGGATTTTAAAGTTTGTGTTAAATAATGGAGCACTTTTCAATCTATTCTTGTTGTAGGATCAGTTCTAATTTTTTGGGGTTTTGAGGGTCCAACGCATTGGAAAATGTAATTGCAGGACTTCCTTATGTTTATGTCATCTAACATTTCTCCAGAAGATTAGTACCTATTATATACAGGGTGAATCTGAAAGTGAGGCTTTTTTTAACGGGATATATGTATATCTCACCAAAATAAGTTGCCTGGCAAAAATATGTTTATACAAAAAATTTAAGATAACGGAGTTACAGGTATTTCAAGGTCTTAAGAAGACTCCAGGATCTTTAACTCGAAAGATGGGAGCAGCGTTCTTATGAGAACGAAGGTCCTATCTTCGTTGCCCTAGTCGCCCATACTTGTATTTGCATAACACTGGACAACGTCCAGATCAATCGTTCTCATGAGAACACTGTTCCTCATTTTCGAGAATAGGCATCCAACTATATACCCTGTCAAAAAAAAAGTCTCACTTTCGGATTCACCCTGTATAATAGTAGCAGGGGGCAGTCCTTCTTTCAGGGATAAAATAGGTTATTGAAAAATATCATGATCCTCAAACCGATTACTCCATAGTTTCCCAACTATTTAATCTGGTGGTCTGGTCTGGTACCTATGGTTATATTATTCCACACATATTATGTATATATAGGAAATGAGTAGGTAGGTTCGGTTTAGACGAGTAAATAAATAATAGTTATTTATGATATAAGTGCTAAAAGTGACATTTTATTTTGTGAAAAGGGAAGTTTGGGACACGACGCCGAAGGCGGAGTGTTCCATCTCTTTGAACAAAATAAAATCACTTTTAGCACGAATATCATACACTATTTTTTCTACAAACGCACTAAAAGTGATTACTTTTAGCACTAGTGCTAAAAGTAATCACTTTTAGCACCAGTGTCATAAAATGGCATTTTAGACACTGACAGCATCCGTTAAAAATGACACTTTTAGTGACGTTTGTAGAAAAAAGTATTTTTACACTTTTTTGGTTAGTCTATTGCATATTCAATTAACAAAAGGTGAACGTCCACTATTAAAATTTAAATTTGATTTGCCGACTCTATTTTCAGCATCGTATCCATCGTGATGTCAGTGGCTATCGTCACGCGACGTTAAGTTTGCACAACAATTATTTATTAATAATTAATAAGTTTTTTTTTTTTTTTGAAAGTATGTCCTAATTATGACAAGAATCAGTTACTTATGAATAAATCGCTAATCCGATTTTATTCTCTTTTTAAAGTCTTTATTAATGATACATCCTGTCTTGCATCCTGCATAAATCTTATATTTAATGAACTAGAAAATGTATTCCGATAATAATATGTATGTGTCTTTTGTGTAATTACTATGTAAAAAATTAGGTACTTAGAGGAATTAGACTTTTCATTTTAGAATGGGATATCACATATTGGCAGCCATATTTTTGAAAACCATTATTTTTGAAAGTAGATATTCAGACAAGATTCTTATTTACAACACAACGCACACAACACAACTACCTAAAATGGTGGAGAAATCTTCCAGGAGATACCTACAGATTCTTAAACACAATTTGAGAAAAGGTATGCCATAGGATTATAAAAATTATGAGTGATGAAAGAAAATCGAGAATTTTTAGTTCCGAGGATGAATAAGATTGGGACAAAATGTTAGGTCCGGTAATTTTCACGTTGTATGTGTATGAGAATAAGGAAAAATTTACATTCTGCTGTTGAAAAATTGTCTGTCTAGTGGATCCGTTTGCTATATTGTCTGGCTATACAAAGAATAGTTTGTGAGCTCTTGGCAAATTAAACTTGGTATGCACAGTACCATGCAATTTAGAACTAAGATTTTCCAATAGCGCTATGTTATAGAGTTTCCATAAATCACGTTTGTAAATTATTGTCGATACTTACCTACTACAGTGGGTTCCAAGTCAACAAAAACCGCTCTGGGTACATGCTTTCCAGCTCCAGTCTCTGAAAAGAAAGTGTTAAAACTGTCGTCGCCACCTCCAATGGTTTTGTCAGAGGGCATTTGGCCGTCAGGTTGAATCCCGTGTTCCAGACAGTACAGTTCCCAGCAAGCGTTGCCGATTTGTACGCCGGCTTGGCCGATGTGGACAGAAATACATTCCCTCTGGAAAAATGTTTGTTTAATTATAATACTGTTCAAGTAAAGTCAAAATCAGTGCGGATTGAACATACAATATGGCTTTTAGTGGAGACCTACAAAAGTTTTTCTAATCTAGAAAACCCATTTTAGGACGCTGCAAAACACTCAAACAGCCCAGAATCTCCAGAAACATTTTGAAAAGCGCCAGAATCTTAGGATTCAGGTTAAAAGTTTCGAAACGCTTTCCAGAAGGCGTTCAAAAGCGAATTTAAATTGCTGTAGAACTTTACACCTTTAATATGCATCCAAATCAGAATTTTCAGGGGCATTTTGAAACAATTTAGAAACTTCAGACTTGTTTATTTCAGAACAATTAGGATTCAATTTAGAACTGGAAATTTTTTAGAACTTTATTGAACCCATTAAGAACACTTTAGAGCTTCAGCTGAAGTAGGTACTTAAAAATCAAGAACAATTTATGAATCACTGAAAAACTTCTAAAAGGCTCCACTCTTCAAGCCAAGTTAGAACGCCCTAGAACTTCAATAAGCCATTCAGAACGTTTCAATAAACTTTCTAGCAGCATATTGAACGGCTTGAGAACAATTTAATTTAAAAATTTCAGAATTATTTCGGAGAGCCTTCTTGCGGAAATAACCCACAACAGGTTTAAATTTTATTATTTCTATTTTAATATATCTCGATCTCTATTATTTACCATAAAAATAATATTCTAAAAATAGATGCAATTGCTGGACTATTTATCCTGTAAAACCGGCAATAACAACCCTTTGAACCGGTAAAATTACAGGTTTCTTCATTACCTTATAAGCCAGTGGACCTTTCTCGCTGCTGTGATTGGTCAGCCGCCACATTGTTTTCTAGTTTTTTGCGAGCTGCTCCCTGGCAGAGCTAGTCGACGCACATTCTTAAGTACTATTAGAACAAGCGAAGAGTTCGCACCCTCGTGCCCTCTGAATACTCTCCAGGAGCAAAACCCCCAAAAACCCCTGTTAGTACGCGCGATTTATAGTAAAATACTACTCTCTGTGTCTCAAGGCTTGACATGGTCTATATTATTGATTACAATTCATGTAATTAACCCCTAATTGTTGCAAGTCACCTCGGACGAGCAAAATTCTCTCCTACGATTGTTTTTGGCTCTCTCTCTCTCACTCTCGACGGGCTTCAACGCACCTGTATATCATTTTGTTTTCTTTTCATCTCAGTGGAAAATTCCCTAGCTGCCATTGTGAATAGTTGTGCTAAATTGATAAATAATCGCCTTGTGGATTTATCTGCATGAACCGGACTAAGCAAGTAAGACCGTTACAATTTCTCTAACAGTCGAGCAATAATAAGTTAATAAATACTGATTAGTGATTCGCTTGAAATGCACTATAAATTGGAGTGTTTTCTAACGTTTAATGCAGAAATTTGGTTTTCACACTCGTGAAATTAACAGTTGTACATTTGTATATAGAAACTGAGCATATAAAAAAACTTTTCTTGCACATATTGTTTACAGACTTCAGCAGAAAAGTGCTCAAATTGTTAACTCTCAATAAATAAAAGAACTTTCAAGGATCAATAAACATTTTGTGATCACAGTGAACTGATTGAAAATGACGAATTATTTATGTTGTGCTCTCGTGCATTCAATTTTTCAATTTGTGCTCTCTTTCATTGAACATTTAACCATAAATGATATTATTATCATTATCAGATTTCCCTACTTTTTATAAATCAAGATATTTTACTTTAAAAAATTTACTTTAGAATAGTATAAAATTTGTAGTTCGACTGGACGTCCAATTAGGAATTTTTAGATAGGATTTGATTGGTAACCATACCGAATTACTTTCATTTATTAATATAACTATTCTATTTCAGCTTTTTATTTGTATAAATGAGAATCAAGGCACCCCTAACCCAATACAAGGCTTAAGGGTCATATTCTCCGTAGTTCATAAAGCCTGGCTTAGTGAAAAAGCTCGGCTTTGTCACACAAAAAACCAAGCGTTTCCACTAAGCCAGGCTTTATGAACTACGGAGAATATGGCCCTAAATGATCCAACAATGGTTAATTTTAACAGTCAGTCAAAGTAAAAACTTTTGGCATCCCTGGTACGGTTTGACTAAAGCCCAAAAAGGGGCAATAGCTAGTTCTGTCACAAGCCTATCGCCTGGAATAGACAAAAATTGAAAGTTATAAAATTAGTAATAATAATGAAATATTAGTCCTAAAGACGTTTGGGTTTTGTAACAAACGACGTCTTCAAGATGCCTTGAATGTCGTTTGTGCACATCTTAGGGACGTCTTTAAGATGTCTCTGTGCTGCCTGGGATCATCATTACATACATTATCATACATTACATACATCATTACTGTGAAGTCTGCTGTTGCTGAAGCTATAACCAAAACAAAGATAAATGAAATTAATGAACTTGGATTAACGGATAATCATAATGAAGTAATCAAGGGTTATGACAAAGGCTGGCAACAGGTAAAAAGAAGACCCAAACGCCGCTTTATACGGGATGGCAATTCCTCCCCATGAAGTGCAAGCCATACCCAGCTGTGTTACACTTCATCTAACCCGTCTGCACCCTGATGTTACACCTGCTAAACTGGAATATATGCTAGAAGAAGCTTTTCCCGAGGTGAAATGCGAGAAACATGAATCGAAAAGGCCTGAACATTACTTGTCGATGAAAGTCACAATTAAACAAAGCAATTTTGGTAAGGCATGGAGGAGGTAAATCTGGTCTGAAGATGCCATTGTTTCCCGGTTTTTTGTACAGAAAAGGATATCGTCAGAAACCCTAAAGCAAATGAATCCTATTTCAAAGACTGTAATGAAACAAATATAAAAAGCTTTAATTTAATTTACCAAAATGTCAGGGGACTAGCAAAAAGACTTCAATCAATGTCCGCCTTATGAGTCTAGCTCTACGACGTCTGAAGAGCAAGGGAACATAACGCCATTCATTTCGAGCTTTATGCTGCCTGTCATAGGCGAGCGCGCAACGTTTTTGAATATAACTTTTTCCTTATAAATTTAGGTGTGTAATGTAATATTTTTATTGGAAGTCAAATAGGCAATATTGCGTTTTTTTTATCCGCATTCTTTCCATAGTGCTAGACTCGTAAGGCGAACTTTATATATGAGAGCATAATTGGAAAGGACTGGGATGCTGTCTGCATAAGTGAAACATGGTTGAATGGCTCGTTTCACGATAATGGAATCGTGATAATAGATATGTGATATTTAGAAATGATAAAAATTATCTCCACTGCGATGTGAGTCGAGGTGGAGGAGTCAGTCATGTGTTGTGTGAAAGCAAAATATATAGGCCGGAGTTAGTAGCTAAGAGTAAATCTATAGGTTTTCAATGGATTTGTGTCACAATCAATGTAAATAATACTCAATTTTCAATATGTTGTATTTGAGTCCCGGAAAAAAAGGTCGAAAACCTAAGGTCGAAATACAAAAAGTCGAAAACAAAAGGTCGAAAATCCAGAAGATCGAATGAGAAAAGGTCGAATAACAAAAGGTCGAAATTACCAAAGGTCGAAATACAAAAGGTCAAAAATACAGAGCGTCGAAAATATAAAAGGTCGAAAAAAAGATCGAAAATATAAAAGCTCGAATAACAAAGGGTCGAATAACAAAAGGTCGAAAATACAAAAGGTCGAAAATACAATCTTTTTTTCTTTCTACTTTCTTTTCCACATACTAACGCCTTGACTAACGCTAACTAACCAAAACTAAACCAAACTAACCAAAACTCTGTACACTTTTGTAATTAACCCAATCTTCGTTTCTGACCCATGCACTCCTATTTACCTCCCGATCCCGTAAACTTCTATAGTGAAACGTCACGTCAGGGAGGACACTTTCAAAAATTAACATATTTTCGATAGAAATTAGTTGATATATCGTTTTTAAAAATGTTTTTGTTTCAATTTAGATGCGGATATTGACGTTTTTTTGTCTCACTAAAAAATAAAAATAAAAACTCTGACCTTCAAATTCGAAGGAGAAAATTACGGGTCCGAGCGAGATAAATTGGAATTTGGATATACAAGACTAGTAAAATAAGAAGGGGTGCTAAATAAAGTGAACTAACACAAACTAACCCGACCATTTTTTATTCGACCTTATATATTTTCAACCTTTTGTATTTTCGACATTTTGCTATTCGATCTTTTGTGACAATTCGACATTTTGTAATTCGACCTTTTTTCCGTACTCCGTTGTATTTATATCAGTTGTAACTTTAGTTTTAATATTTATGAGGGTTTTATTGATTCACTGTACATACAGTATTGACATGCTTGGCTAGAGGTTCACCATAGTCTCAACTCATTAACCATTTACTGAGTGAGTATGATTTGTATTCCCTGAATAATATAAAAAATCGTCTAGGCAACACATCTGGATCTGGTCCTGACAAATGAAACAGAGGCCAATGTTGAGGAAGATTTTGAGAATGCGCTGGGTAAGCATTGATAACTATCATCCAGTTCTAAAAATAACTTTCAAATTAAAGTCAAGAAATGATGGGGTTTCTGATGATGTTCCTGATGGCTCATTTACCTATGATCTTGCTCGTTCTGACCATCCTTTGCTTTACCGACTGCTAAGTGAGCAGGATTGGATTGAACTTGCAAATGGCTCCGATACTCCGATGTCAATCTATGTGTACTGGTTTCTCATGAGATTTTATACAGCATTTTTGAGCATTGTGCATTCCGAAGAAGAAAATAGGTAATTTACAACTCATACCTACAGAAATTAAATCAAAAGAAACACTTTTCCAAAATGTCAAAAAAACAACCAAAATTTAAAGCAAAATATAGAGAAAAATACTGTAAGCTAAGAATAGAAACAAAAAAGCTTATTAAAACTTGCCGTTCTCGATTTGTAAGAAATACTGAACAAAATATTACCCATGATGCTAATCTGTTCTGGAAATTTATCAAAGAAAAGGCAAAATAGTAATATCAGTTATACCTA